AGAGTGTAGAAACATTGAGAGAGGTATATGTAAAAAATTTCTTTTTAATTACTCCATCCCTTAAATTCACCATATATGTGATGTGATGACTTTTCATCTTCCTTGAATATTTAGAAACCTATCAAACAAGCATGCCAAAACATCATATGAAAAGAAAAAAATGGAATAGTCTGAACAAAACCTCTAATTTATTAGAAAAACATAGGAATTAGTGATCACATTCTTTGTTGATAACATGCCATGCACGTCACAGGGAAAAATAAAAACAAAAAAGAAACAAAACAAAGGTTCAAGAAAGACTACAAAACCACACACGCATAAAGTTTTAAGGTTGTTGTGTCGTTGATGGCGTTCAGAGTTTATCCATCCCCGGTGAATTCTGCAGAAGAAGCTTCTTCTGGTCTGTGACTTTTCTGCATCTGAGATTGATTATTATCGGCGTTTGAATCTTTTGGTGCAGCATTGTTTGCAACATTGCGTGCACTTTCAAACATATCAACTGGTTGAGAATGAGATATCATTCCCCCTTCAAGGGGAGTGCCATTGACATACGCCACTCTTACTGCTTCATCTTCTGAAAGTCTTGCCTGTGCTGTTCCATACTTTATGTCATCTTTGCTCTTCGCCATGATTGCTTTACTCAACTCTGCTGTTATTCAGTTGAAGATTTGCATGATGAGAGATGATGGGTGGCTTTATTGCCCTAATTGCTGTGATACGTGGCTTGCTCTTTGCATGGTTATGCGACAAGTGTGTGTGACAAAGGTTGAGGATGTAGTGAATGGTGACATGTGGTGGATGAAGGACAGAACTAGAATGTAACTGAGTTTTTTCTCGAACTAGAGGTTAACCTTGTTTAGGAAAACTTTAGCTGAGGTAAAATTATTATGACAAACAACTATTTAATATTAATTTACTTTATTATTTATATTTATTTTACTATTTTAAAAGTTGATTTTTAACTTACTTTTTTATTTATTAGTTTTAACTTTAAGCTAATTTGTCTTTGAAATGAAACTATATTTTTATAATTTTTTTATTCTTAATTTTATCATTTTTTAAGTTTTAATTACTTGATTATTTAATAAAATTAAATTTAAAAATATATTTACAAATACAAATTAAATTAAATTTAAAGTTATATTCTAAAATAATATTATTTGAAAACTAATATATATTTATTAATAATAAAAATTTTAACACTCACATAAAAATTCGTCTTTATCTAATAAATTATGATTTTAGTCTTAAATAACAGTATTAATTTAAAATCTTCAATTTTAATTTCGAATTAATTATGTTTAAAGTTAAAATTATATTACTAATTAATTTAATTTATGATGTGTATCTCTAAAAATTATTTTAAATTTAAATTGATTTTTAAAATTAATAAATAATGACTTTTTTTACGGGCTCTGCATTCAGTGGTCATTAAAAATCTTTTTTAACATGTATTTAATATATTTATTATTAAAAAATAATTTATATTTAAAGTATTAATTATTTTTATACTATTTGTTTCATTCTTAACTTTATCTTTTTATACTTTTTAATGACTTAATCATTTAATAAATTACTAAATAATAATTTATATTTAAAGTACTAATCCTCTTATACTATTATTTTATCCTTTTATATTTATAATTACCTGCTCATTTAATAAAATCAAATTTAAAAGAATATATTTAACTTTTTTCCTTTTGAAATAATATATATTTAGTAATATTACAAATTATTATTTAATATCTAATAAATTATTATTACAAATGTTTATTTAATATATAATAAATTATTATTACAAATGTTTATTTAATATATAATAAATTATTATTCTAGTTATTAAATAACACTATTAGTTTCTTAAATTTAAAATCTGTATATCAATCTCTAAATTATCAATTATGTTTAAAATTAAAATTCTTTTATTAATCAATTTGATCGATAATAGACATTCCTAATATTTATTTTAAAAATTAGCTGATTTTTAAAATAAATAAATAATTACTTCTTTCAAATGTCTCATTAAATACATTTTAAAAATTATTAAAAAAGAATTTCTAATATAGTTTGAATATATTTATTATTAAAGAATAACTTATATTTAAAGCATTAATATTTTTTTCTATATTATTTTTCTCATTCCTAATTTTATCTTTTTATAATTTTTAATTATTTGGTTATTTAATAAATTATTAAAAATAAATTATATTTAAAGTATTATTTTTATACTATTTTTTTCATTTTTAATTTTATCCTTTCATGATTTCTAACTACTTAATCATTTAAAAAATTAAATTTAAAAAAATATACTTTACTTTTATGTGTTAAAATAATATTATTTCAAAACATAATATATTTTTTTTGTCTTACACAGCTAAATAAAAAAGTTATCATGCAATAATTTTATTCTAAAAATTTCAATAAAATATTATATTTAATTATTAATAAATAATTTTATTGCTGAATTTTCTTCATAGTTCTGTCTATACACTAATTAAACGAGTCTATAAATAAACATTAAATGAATGTGTTTATGGTAAGATTTAGGAAAATAAGAGTTTTAAAAATAAAGTAATGTTGAAACTTTGAGTTTTTTTTTTTTGTGGAAATTAGGGTTCTTGAGTGTATATTTTTGTTAGAACATAATTGTTTTGTTATTTCTTTATTTTTATATTTTTGACTAGGGGTAAAATAATCTTTTACCTTTATTTAATTGGTGTAGAAATTAATTAAGGAGTTGTTTGGTGTTTAGAGAGGAGATTGACATTTTGAGAGAAGAAGAGAGAAAACGACGAAAAACTTTTAATGCAGATGAAGATTGGTGGTGTTTTATGGTTGAAGATAAATCCTTATGATTGATCAAGGTACGAAAAACTCTTAATGTAGAGGAAGATTGGTGGTGTTTTATGGTTGTAAATAAATCCTTATGATTGATCAAGGTATGAGAAAACTTACCTTTGTTTGTTTATGGTTGTATGTTATATGTGTTCTTGATTATCTTGATTAGTAATCCTTGTTTTGGTACATGTGTATATGATTATGATTATTTGTGGTTATTATTGGGTAAGAGTTTGTGTATAAATGGACATAGAGTTTATGTAATATTTGTGATGAATTTTTTCCTATGAATGTATTATGTATGTTTTGTTGGGTTATCTCAACAAAGAGTTTGATGCTAAGGTAGAATAAAGTTATGATCCTTAAGAGTTTCCATGTAAGTATATGTTGTAAGTGTTGAGTTATTGGACTCCTTTCCTATGTGGAGAATAAGCCAAATAATGTAAACCATTATGTGTCACTTTGTTTTGTTTTAATGGAGATGAGTAAGATTAGTAGGACATACTAGACTCATTTGAAGACTGAGAAAAGTTAAGTGAGAGAGAAAGGAAGAGAACTCATTGCATGCCATCCATCCATAGAGGCAACTCTAAGGTGGCTTTCAATGAAGTGGAAGTTCAGGCACAGAACTTGTTTCAACAAGTAATCAACTTATATTCATTCAGTCTATTCGATTCTATCCATATATAACTGAAGCATATTTTATCACAAAATACGTAGAATAATCAGAAAAAGGTCATCCGATATTGTTTTAACTGCATGATGAATGCACGGTGCAAGCAACCTCATCGAAGCATTTTCTTGAGAGGAATTTGATTTTTTGCTAAGAATCTGACATGGGCATAATGGCTGACCTAACCGCTGTTGAACCTAAAAGAATTTAAAGATCATATCCAACAAGTTCTTAGAAGAACAACAGCCTGATTCAAATAATCACCACAAGTCTTGACAAGAACAATTTCCATTTCTGAAATGATGAAACCTCAAGGAGTCTCTAACGATGATTGTCACGCCAACAATTTTAGAAATGTACTTAATGACATTGTGACAGTCACCACAAATTCTCAAATTCTTGAAAACCCGTAGAGATGACTGTCCATTCAAATTAAGAATCCCAAATGCAACAGCGAGCCTCTCACTATGGCTACAAAGACTAGCAGCTTTTTCCTCTTGGTCAACATCTTGCAGAACATAATCAGTGTCAGGCTTATATCCGGCCAATTTCATTTTCTCATCTAACTCATTCAAAAAGTCATAGATTTTATCACTCTCCATGTTATTTTTGTCTCCAACAACAAAAGTGTAAACTCTATTTCCCACTTGAAGCCAACTACAGCCTGGAGTTTTTGTAACTCCTCTCTCTTTCATCAATATTCTCGCTTTTGAAGCTTCACTCCACAATTTGGCTGTGACAAGGATGTTGAATAATAAAACATAATTTCCAGGGTTGTTGGGTTCAATCTCAAATAATTTATTGGCTGAAATTTTTGCCAATTCCACATTCTTATAAACTCTACAAGCACCAAGAAGTGCTCCCCAAGCACTGGCAGTTGGCTCCATAGGCATTCCCTGTATGAACTCGTACGCCTCACCAAGCCGACCAGCACGGCTGAAGACATCAACCATGCATGCATAGTGATTAGCATCAGGTTCGACTTGATGATCCCTACCCATTGAATTAAAGATCTGGAGTCCTTCCTCTACCAACCTTGAGTGGCTACAACCAGACAGAACACCAGTAAAAGTAACAGAATTGGGCTTCATCCCTGACTGAAGCATGCTCTCGAACAGCATAAGTACTTCTTTTCCATTTCCATGCATTGTATTAGCAATTATCATCGTGTTCCAAGCAACAACATCTTTTCTGTGCATCATATCAAACACATTCCTTGAAAGATTCAAGTCACCACATTTAGCATACATGTATACCACCGCAGTCATGGTTGTCAAGTCCCAAATTAACCAATGCCTAACGACATAGCAATGTACCTCCCTGCCCATCCTCAAGCTTTCTAAAAAAGAGCAAGCCGGTAAAAAACTACTAATTGTAATTTGATTAGGTTTAAATCCCATGTTTTGCATCTTCCTAAGCATCTCCACTGCCTCCTCTATGTTCCCGTTTTCCATGCAACCCCCAATAACAGCATTCCATGTAGCTTCATCTGCTTTGACTCCTTTGCTCCTCATTTGGGAAAACAGGGCAAGACCCTTCTCATATTCTTTGTTTGTGAAGTATGCCGATAAAAGTCCATTCCAAGACACNTTTTTTACGGGCTCTGCATTCAGTGGTCATTAAAAATCTTTTTTAACATGTATTTAATATATTTATTATTAAAAAATAATTTATATTTAAAGTATTAATTATTTTTATACTATTTGTTTCATTCTTAACTTTATCTTTTTATACTTTTTAATGACTTAATCATTTAATAAATTACTAAATAATAATTTATATTTAAAGTACTAATCCTCTTATACTATTATTTTATCCTTTTATATTTATAATTACCTGCTCATTTAATAAAATCAAATTTAAAAGAATATATTTAACTTTTTTCCTTTTGAAATAATATATATTTAGTAATATTACAAATTATTATTTAATATCTAATAAATTATTATTACAAATGTTTATTTAATATATAATAAATTATTATTACAAATGTTTATTTAATATATAATAAATTATTATTCTAGTTATTAAATAACACTATTAGTTTCTTAAATTTAAAATCTGTATATCAATCTCTAAATTATCAATTATGTTTAAAATTAAAATTCTTTTATTAATCAATTTGATCGATAATAGACATTCCTAATATTTATTTTAAAAATTAGCTGATTTTTAAAATAAATAAATAATTACTTCTTTCAAATGTCTCATTAAATACATTTTAAAAATTATTAAAAAAGAATTTCTAATATAGTTTGAATATATTTATTATTAAAGAATAACTTATATTTAAAGCATTAAATTTTTTTTCTATATTATTTTTCTCATTCCTAATTTTATCTTTTTATAATTTTTAATTATTTGGTTATTTAATAAATTATTAAAAATAAATTATATTTAAAGTATTATTTTTATACTATTTTTTTCATTTTTAATTTTATCCTTTCATGATTTCTAACTACTTAATCATTTAAAAAATTAAATTTAAAAAAATATACTTTACTTTTATGTGTTAAAATAATATTATTTCAAAACATAATATATTTTTTTTGTCTTACACAGCTAAATAAAAAAGTTATCATGCAATAATTTTATTCTAAAAATTTCAATAAAATATTATATTTAATTATTAATAAATAATTTTATTGCTGAATTTTCTTCATAGTTCTGTCTATACACTAATTAAACGAGTCTATAAATAAACATTAAATGAATGTGTTTATGGTAAGATTTAGGAAAATAAGAGTTTTAAAAATAAAGTAATGTTGAAACTTTGAGTTTTTTTTTTTTGTGGAAATTAGGGTTCTTGAGTGTATATTTTTGTTAGAACATAATTGTTTTGTTATTTCTTTATTTTTATATTTTTGACTAGGGGTAAAATAATCTTTTACCTTTATTTAATTGGTGTAGAAATTAATTAAGGAGTTGTTTGGTGTTTAGAGAGGAGATTGACATTTTGAGAGAAGAAGAGAGAAAACGACGAAAAACTTTTAATGCAGATGAAGATTGGTGGTGTTTTATGGTTGAAGATAAATCCTTATGATTGATCAAGGTACGAAAAACTCTTAATGTAGAGGAAGATTGGTGGTGTTTTATGGTTGTAAATAAATCCTTATGATTGATCAAGGTATGAGAAAACTTACCTTTGTTTGTTTATGGTTGTATGTTATATGTGTTCTTGATTATCTTGATTAGTAATCCTTGTTTTGGTACATGTGTATATGATTATGATTATTTGTGGTTATTATTGGGTAAGAGTTTGTGTATAAATGGACATAGAGTTTATGTAATATTTGTGATGAATTTTTTCCTATGAATGTATTATGTATGTTTTGTTGGGTTATCTCAACAAAGAGTTTGATGCTAAGGTAGAATAAAGTTATGATCCTTAAGAGTTTCCATGTAAGTATATGTTGTAAGTGTTGAGTTATTGGACTCCTTTCCTATGTGGAGAATAAGCCAAATAATGTAAACCATTATGTGTCACTTTGTTTTGTTTTAATGGAGATGAGTAAGATTAGTAGGACATACTAGACTCATTTGAAGACTGAGAAAAGTTAAGTGAGAGAGAAAGGAAGAGAACTCATTGCATGCCATCCATCCATAGAGGCAACTCTAAGGTGGCTTTCAATGAAGTGGAAGTTCAGGCACAGAACTTGTTTCAACAAGTAATCAACTTATATTCATTCAGTCTATTCGATTCTATCCATATATAACTGAAGCATATTTTATCACAAAATACGTAGAATAATCAGAAAAAGGTCTTCCGATATTGTTTTAACTGCATGATGAATGCACGGTGCAAGCAACCTCATCGAAGCATTTTCTTGAGAGGAATTTGATTTTTTGCTAAGAATCTGACATGGGCATAATGGCTGACCTAACCGCTGTTGAACCTAAAAGAATTTAAAGATCATATCCAACAAGTTCTTAGAAGAACAACAGCCTGATTCAAATAATCACCACAAGTCTTGACAAGAACAATTTCCATTTCTGAAATGATGAAACCTCAAGGAGTCTCTAACGATGATTGTCACGCCAACAATTTTAGAAATGTACTTAATGACATTGTGACAGTCACCACAAATTCTCAAATTCTTGAAAACCCGTAGAGATGACTGTCCATTCAAATTAAGAATCCCAAATGCAACAGCGAGCCTCTCACTATGGCTACAAAGACTAGCAGCTTTTTCCTCTTGGTCAACATCTTGTAGAACATAATCAGTGTCAGGCTTATATCCGGCCAATTTCATTTTCTCATCTAACTCATTCAAAAAGTCATAGATTTTATCACTCTCCATGTTATTTTTGTCTCCAACAACAAAAGTGTAAACTCTATTTCCCACTTGAAGCCAACTACAGCCTGGAGTTTTTGTAACTCCTCTCTCTTTCATCAATATTCTCGCTTTTGAAGCTTCACTCCACAATTTGGCTGTGACAAGGATGTTGAATAATAAAACATAATTTCCAGGGTTGTTGGGTTCAATCTCAAATAATTTATTGGCTGAAATTTTTGCCAATTCCACATTCTTATAAACTCTACAAGCACCAAGAAGTGCTCCCCAAGCACTGGCAGTTGGCTCCATAGGCATTCCCTGTATGAACTCGTACGCCTCACCAAGCCGACCAGCACGGCTGAAGACATCAACCATGCATGCATAGTGATTAGCATCAGGTTCGACTTGATGATCCCTACCCATTGAATTAAAGATCTGGAGTCCTTCCTCTACCAACCTTGAGTGGCTACAACCAGACAGAACACCAGTAAAAGTAACAGAATTGGGCTTCATCCCTGACTGAAGCATGCTCTCGAACAGCATAAGTACTTCTTTTCCATTTCCATGCATTGTATTAGCAATTATCATCGTGTTCCAAGCAACAACATCTTTTCTGTGCATCATATCAAACACATTCCTTGAAAGATTCAAGTCACCACATTTAGCATACATGTATACCACCGCAGTCATGGTTGTCAAGTCCCAAATTAACCAATGCCTAACGACATAGCAATGTACCTCCCTGCCCATCCTCAAGCTTTCTAAAAAAGAGCAAGCCGGTAAAAAACTACTAATTGTAATTTGATTAGGTTTAAATCCCATGTTTTGCATCTTCCTAAGCATCTCCACTGCCTCCTCTATTTTCCCGTTTTCCATGCAACCCCCAATAACAGCATTCCATGTAGCTTCATCTGCTTTGACTCCTTTGCTCCTCATTTGGGAAAACAGGGCAAGACCCTTCTCATATTCTTTGTTTGTGAAGTATGCCGATAAAAGTCCATTCCAAGACACAACATCTCGATGAGGCATCAAATCAAAAACTAGTCTAGCCGGTTTAACACTCAAACATCTAGCATACATGCTCACAAGAGCACTGCAGACATACACATTTTCCATCATCCCATGTCTCATTGCATATCCATGAATAGCCCTTCCAGACTTCAGATCTTTCAATTCCGAGCACGCAGGCAAAATGCTAGACACTGTCACTGAATTAGGCTTCACCCCATTCCGTCCCATCTCGCGAAAAACAGCTAGGCCTTGTCTGGGCAATCCACAATTGACATAGCATGAAGACATGGAGGTCCAAGAAACCACATCTTTCACAACCAAATCATCAAAAACCCGTCTTGCACCTTCAGTGCATCTACACTTCCCATAGGCATGAATCAATGCATTTCCTAAGAAAACATCAGAAATCATCCCACATCGAATGGAATCATCATGAATCTCCTTGACTCTCAAGAGATCACCAGAGGCACCAGAGGCCTTGGCAACAGCCAGAAACACAGAGTTCTGGGGTTTGATCTTACGTTCCCGAAGCGAAGCATAGAGCCTTAAAGCCTCATGTGGAAATCCATAAGTAGTGAGAGCTGAAATTAATGTATAACAAGTGGTGGGGTCTGGTTGAGGAATATTATCAAACAGTTGTTGGGCACGCCTTAAATCACCGACATTCAAAGCTGCCTTGACAAGACTGTGACCCAAGTGAGATGGGAGGTTAGTGCTCACAGAGGGAGCCACCTTTGTTGAAGGTGGCTGCTTCCGCAAGGAAGGATTAAGTTTTATGAAAGCGAGAACTGACAAAGGTAGCAAAACAGAGCCAAAGACTACAACTACTCACAATCTTCATTTCATTCATTTGGATCCATTTTTTGTATTCGGATTCAGCTCTATCGGGTCGGGTAAATTTTAATGGTTTCTAATATTCTTCAATTTTAAGCTCCCTTTTTTTCTTTTGAAAAGGTAAATTGCCTTTTTATTAAAAGAATTTCTAGAGAAAAAAAATTAAGAGGACGATTATTTTTAAAATGAATAAAAAAAGATACACCTCTTACACCATTAGTAAATAATATGTTGATTTCTGTTAAAAATAATTATACAAGTTTCGAAGCCTATTTAACTTGCTTTAAATTATTAAAATTGTTTTTCTAAATCAACATATAAATAAAAAAGAGAATGAATTTTAATTAAAAATTAACTTAACATAATCTAAAAGAAGATTTAAAAGTTTATATCTACTAATCAGTCTTTGAAAAAATTTATATTCAATGGATATAACAAATATTAAAAGAACTAATTATTTAAACAAATACTTGTCAAATATTACATTGGCTACTAATCATCATTTCAAGTAACCATAATCCAACTAAATTAACTCTAGTAAACTAATAATTTACTGCATTTTTTAAATTTAAAAGCCTAATCACTAGTCAAAATAATTCAGTGACTTAGAGACTAATTTATTCTATATATGTATTTTTCCTAAACTCGTGTTTAATTAGAAAATATACAATGTGAGATGAGACCAACAAATTGAAATACTCCATTTTCTTTTTAGGTTCTCCAATCTTAACATTTAAATATTGGTTTTGTAAATAAAATATATGTTTAATATATTTATATATTTTAAACTTTACAAAATTAGCCTGTAAAATAAAGTTTGTATCCACTCGTATATTCTAAATAGGTCTTAT